ATTTGGGTGAATTTGGAGCAGATTATTTGTGGCGTCAGATGTTTTTTTTTTAGGAACTTCTTATGTCAGGATCACGTTAAAAGACTGGTGGAGGTTGGGAACTGCTCTATAGGCAACACAAAGTGCTTTACAGAGTTCACAAACAAACAAAACCAGACACAAATGATAAAAACAATAACATCAGACGGGCAACAACAACAAAAAAGAGGAAAAACTGTAAGAATAAACAACCAAAAGCACCCAGAATAATAACAAATATGAATTCTAATAAATGGTAAACAGGTTCTTTAGCTTGTATTTGAAAGTAGTTGTTTCAGTGTTTGTGTACATGTTAAAAAAGGGATTGTATTTAAAAACAACAACATACAAAGTCAAACTGTGTGTTTATGTACAGTATAAGTATACATACAGTTTACTTAAAGAATCAAAAGTCAAAGAGAGAGTGCATATATCTAATAATATACTGTATATATATATAATTATACTCTTATGATATCATTAAAACAGGACCAAAAGGTTCCAGTTGTACAGAAAAATATATTAAACTGTAATTTCAGTGAAATTTGTTGAGCATATTTATGTTAATGAGAGGAAGACACTTTTTTTAACCTGTTGAAATCACACTGATACCCACAGTTATATATATATATATATTTTAAATTAACTGTCCCAAAATGTAATGTAATTTTATTTAATGCTAAAGTTAGTGTTTGTACTTCTCTACAGTTAATAGAAATTAAAAATGACCATGTTGCCCTCTAGTGTTGTAATTCAAAACTGGAGAAAGTACTCACAGTTACACACAATTACACTATAATGTGTTTTTATTGTTAATTAAATGTTCATATACTGATTTTAAACGCACTTAAAGTAAATTACTACCACATTTCTCTATTAATAAAACTCATAAACTGAATGTCTACGCAAAATAAACGAGTGTTTCTCGATATAAGCTACAAAAACACACACATATATTTAAATATTCCCCCCCCCAAAAAAATAATAATAAAAACAATAAAAGCTGTTTTTGTTTTAATCTCCGTATTTCCGACAGCACCTGAACGTCGCACGGCGTCGGCGGTGCGGTGAACGTCCTTCGTCATCTCTCCGTGACACATCAACACGCAGCTTTTTTTTGCGTGAGACGAGCTCACAGTGACAACAAAACGTGTCTCCGTGTGCGTTAAGAGAAGCGTGACTGAAAGCGTTCGTCCAAAAAAACGCTCATTTAACATTTTTTAACATTTCCCGGCGTGTCGTATTCAGGTGGCGAGCGGAGGCTGCAGGCGGTTCGTGGCACACCGACGGAACCCCGTTCACATCCACCGTGGATTTAGTGTCAACTCCACACTGCAGCCGGTAGGAGTCCGTTGAGTGGTTCAGGATGAATGAAGAAGGTGAGTTGTGTCATGTTTCCCACTTCGGCTCATGTTTTGTGTCTATTAGCGCAGATATTAACCGTGTTTTCATTGCCTCCCCCCCCCCCACATTACCAGAGCTGGTGGAGTACTTCAGGGCTCAGATGATGAAGGATCCGGACATGGCCTCTGCTGTGGCCGCTATCCGCACTCTGCTTGAGTTCCTAAAGAGAGACAAAGGTTTGTTTACTCCCAGCATCCTCTTTTATTTTTTTTGTGCCTGTAGCTTTTCTGAATAAAGCTCCTGTGTTGCTTCTGTGCCCCCCCCACCCCCTAACCCCTAACCCCTAACCCCCTACAGGAGAAACTATCCTGGGCCTGAGGGAGAGCCTGATGTGGGCAACAGACTGCCTGACAGGAGTGGACTCCTCTGTGGCCGTGTCCTCGGGGGGAGAGCTCTTCCTGCGCTTCATCAGTCTCACATCGCTGGAGCATCAGGTGAGCAGCCTGCCCCCCCCCCC